CATTTCATTTTGAACTCTCTTCCCGTAGAATATGGTCGATTTAAAATTTCTTACAACACATATAAGGAAAAATGGTCAATTAATAAATTATTGACCTCGTGTGTTCAAGAAGAAAGGAGATTGAAACTTGAGAAACCCGAAAGTGCTCATTGGTTTCTCAAGCTAAGGAAATTCCAAGAAGGGTAAAAATGTTCAAAAAGTAAAGAAATATGAAAATATGCCTATAAAGCAAAATAGCAATAATAATAAATGTTTCTTCCGCAAGAAATGGGGACATGTTAAGAAAGATTGCCCCGAGTATCAAAAGTGGCTCGTGAAGAAAGGTAAACTCATCTCTTTAGTGTGTCATGGATCTTTTTTTATTGAGACTCCTAATAATACGTGGTGGATTGATTCCGGTTCTACAATTCATATTGTGAATACCATGTAGGGCTTTCTTGACCTAAGGATGCCAAAAAGGAAATGAAGAAGGCATCTATTCAGGAAATCGGATGCGCTCTAAAGTTGAAGCTATGTGAAATTTTAGATTAATTTTAAAATTTAGATTTATTTTGGATTTGGAAAATATTTTTTATGTTCCATCATTTTCTAGAAATTTGATTTCAGTTTCCAAACTATGTAGTATTGGCTATGAATTTTTGTTTAATGAAAACATTTTTAGTATTTTGAAAAATAAAATTTCTATTAGTGGTGGAACATTAATTGATGGTTTATATAAAATTGATCTAGACCCCACTTTTGAGCTTAACTATTTATCAATGCATGTTGATACAAGTATTAAAAAGAGAAAAATTAATGAGAATTCCTTCACATTTTGGCACAAGAGATTAGGTCACATCTCCATTGAAAGAATTAAAAGATTGGTGAATTATGGAGTTTTAAACACTCTTGATTTTACTGATTTTGGTACTTGTGTGGATTGCATAAAAGGAAAGCAAACTAACAAGACCACTAAAGGTGCCACGAGGAGCTCGTAAATTTTAGAAATCATACACACCGACATATGTGGATCGCTTAATACTCATTGCCTAAATGGTCGGAGATATTTTATCTCATTCATTTATGACCGTTCTAGATTTATGTATCTTTATCTTTTACATGATAAGGTCGAAGCACTTGATGCTTTTAAAACCTTTAAGGTTGAGGTAGAGAAACAAAAGAAAGAGACCATTAAGATTGTAAGGTTTGATAGAGGTGGAGAGTATTATAGTAGGTACACCGAAAAAGGATAAATGTCGGGTCCATTTACAAAGTTCCTTGAAGGAGAGGGCATTATTGCACAATATACAATGCCTAGCACACCACAACAAAATGGTGTAGCTGAAAGAAGAAATCGTACTCTCATGGACATGGTAAGAAGCATGATTAGTAATTCTAATTTACCATTATCCTTATGGAGTGAAGCATTAAAGATCGCTATGTATATTCTAAACGGGGTTTCATCCAAGATCGTCTCTAAGACACCTTTTGAATTATGGAATGGATGAAAACCTAGTTTAAATCATACACATATATGGGGTTGTCCTTTTGAGATAAGGATTTATAATCATCGATTAAAGAAATTAGACCTCGGAACAATTAGTGGATATTTCATTGGTTATGTAGTAAACTCTAAAGGATATAAGTTTTATTTTTCTTCTCACGAGTACAAGAATAGTAGAGACAAGAAATGCTAAATTTCTTGAGGATCTTAACCTTAGTGGGAGTGATTTTCCACGAAGAATAGAATTTGAGAAAACACAAGATTCAATCGTGTTGCATAAGGATAAAAGGCAATTGGTTATTATTCAAGAAAGTTAATTAGATAATGTTGAACAACAACCAATTCCTAGGTAACAAGTTCAAGAGCAACTAGTTTTTGATGAGACAAACCCACATGAAGATGTTGAATTAAGAAGATCTTCAAGAGTAAGGAGACCAAGAATTTCTAATGACTATGTTGCATACCTTCAAGAGTTTGACTTTGATGTTGGACTTAAGAATGATCCAAATTCATTTTCACAAGCTATGAATGGAGAAAACTCTGATTTATGGTATAATGCCATGAAGGAAGAAATGGAGTCTATGCATAAAAATCAAGTTTGGGACCTCATTGAATTACCAAAGGGATCCGTAGCCGTTGGCTATAAATAGGTTTATAAAACCAAAAGAGATTCTTCGGTAATATCAAATGATATAAAGCTAGACTTGTGGCTAAGGGTTATACCCAATAAGAAGGCATAGACTATCATGAGACCTTTTCTCCAGTCTCTAAAAATGATTCATTCGAATAATAATGGAATTAGTAGCTCATTTTGATTTCGAGCTACATCGGATGGATGTGAAAACAACATTCTTAAATGAAAATTTGGATGAAGAGGTATACATGAATCAGCTCGAAGGTTTTTGTGATGATACAAATAGCCACTTGGTTTGTAAGCTAAAAAGATCTATATATGGGCTAAAGCAAACCTCTCGACAAGTGGTATATTAAGTTTCACAATGTTATTACCTCATATGGTTTTATTGAGAATATTTTTTATTAATGCATATACCTTAAAGTTAATTAGTATGAGCAAATATATTTTTCTTGTCCTATATGTAGATGATATTTTACTTGCATATAGTGACTTGGGTTTGCTTCATGAGATTAAGCAATTTCTTTCTCAAAAATTTGATATGAAGGATTTAGGTGAAGCCTCTTATGTCATTGGCATAGAGATTCACAGAGACAGATCTCAAAAAATATTAAAACTGTCTCAAAAAGCCTACATTGAAAAAGTCTTGAAAAGATTCAAGATGTCAAATTGTGCATCTTCGAGTAGCACCCATTGTCAAAGGGGATAAATTCAATCCGAATCAATGTCCACAAAATGCATTGAAAAATGAGTAGATGAGTAATATTCCTTATGCATCTGCAGTAGGCGGTTTGATGTATGCACAAGTTTGTACAAGACCTAACTTGGGATTTGTAGTAGGAATGCTAGGTAGGTTCCAAAGCAATCCCGGAATGGACCATTGGAAAGTTGCTAAGAAAGTCATGAGATATCTACAAGGAACCAAGAATTATAGAGTGACTTACGAGCATACTAATCACCTTGAGGTGGTTGGTTATTCATATTCGAATTTTGCTAGTTGTGTAGACACAAGAAAGTCTACTTTAGGATACATTTTTCTTATGATCTGAATGAGTCGTTTCTTGGAGAAGCATTAAGCAAACTATTGTTGCTTCGTCTACTATGGAAGCAGAATTCGTTGCATGCTATTAAATAACGATACGAGCTATTTGGTTAAGAAACTTCATTTTTGGTTTACAAATTATCGATTCCATATCAAGACTAATAAAGATTTACTCGTGACAATTCGACTTTGGTTTTCTTCTTTAAGAATAATAAAAGTGGAAGTCGAACAAGTATATCGACATAAAATATCTCATTGTGAGAGAGTAAGTGAAGGAACATGAAATGCTCATTGAGCATATTAACACCGAGCTAATGATTGCAAATCCTATGACTAAAGCACTCGCCGCAAAACAAGTATAGAGATCATGTGGATCGTATGGGTCTAGCTAACCTATTTATTGTTTCACTTCATTTTCTTTTATTGATTGTCTAGACATTTTTTAAGTTGTTCTTAGAGATTGATGTGATTTTGTGCACAATAAAGTATTAATTTTATATTAATTTTGATATATAAAATTGGACTCGAATGACTTATAGGAAGTTCATTCATAAAGTTTATTTGCTCATTAAGTGCTTGTTTTAAGGATGTAATATATTGTAATACATGAAAGGGAGTGCTTAGTTATAAAGCATGACCGCTATGATTCATATATTGCATTCTTAACTAAGTATAAGTGTTTCCACTAACTAATCATTCTGGACTCTATAAAGAAAATTTCATTTTTAGGTAGTATCGTATGGGTCAAGTAGGAGAATGTAAGAAATATTCTATAGTGTAGCCCATATGTCATGTTTGTTTTAAATCTAGAAATGACAATTTAAAGACTTAGAGCTCAATGGACTTTAGTGGTGGGTTAGGCACATCCATGATGGATGAAGGTGCAAAATTAGATTAAAGAAAGAGTCCTCGATCTAGCCATATAAATAGTAAGTAAAGCTTGTGTTTTTCATCAAGCACACAAAACCTTAAAGTATTGACATAGACTAGAAGGCTCTCTCCCTCGATGGCTCCAGTTTTCTTTCAAGCAATATCTTGAATACTTAATCAATCGTGGCAGGAGATAATATATTGTAATACATGAAAGGGAGTGCTTAGTTATAAAATATTAATTTTGATATATAAAATTGGACTCGAATGACATAGGAAGTTCATTCATAAAGTTTATTTGCTCATTAAGTGCTTGTTTTAAGGATGTAATATATTGTAATACATGAAAGGGAGTGCTTAGTTATAAAGCATGACCGCTATGATTCATATATTTCATTCTTAATTTAAGTATGAGTGTTTCCACTAACTAATCATTCTGGACTCTATAAAGAAAATGTCAATTTTAGATAATGTGATATGTGTCTAGTGGGAGAATGTAAGAAATATTCTATAGTGTGGCTCATATTTCATGTTTGTTTTAAATCTATAAGTGACAATTTAAAGACTTAGAGCTCAATGGACTTTAGTGGTGGGTTAAGCACATCCATGATGGGTGGAGGTGCAAAATTAGATTAAAGAAAGAGTTCCTAGTCTAGCCATATAAATAGTAAGTAAAGCCTCGTGTTTTCCATCAAGCACACAAAACCCTAAAGTATTGGCATAGACTAGAGGCTCTCTCCCTGGTGGCTCCAGCTTTTCTTTCGATAATATCTTGAGCACTTAATCAATTATGACATGAGGTATATATCCTATTAATTTTCGATGCGCTTATATGCATAGACATATTTAATTTTCTAACCGGAAAATATTAAACAATTACCAAAAAAGAAAAAATAAGAACAAGTGCTGAAACAAAGGATTTGTACATAATTTCTTATGCTAGTCCGTTACGGAGAAACAAGTCTAGAAATTTAATAAGAAGACGTGTGGGGACCGCCAAGGTTTCCACTGCTGGTCCATCCATCTTGAATTTGAATGGAATACTGCAAATTCCAAAGGACATCTTCTATTGATGGCCGATTTCTTGATTCCTTGTTTAGGCAATTAATGGTCATTTCAGCTGCAGTTCTTAGGGATTCATACGCAAAAGTACCCCGTGTAGATGGATCTACTATAGCCTGTAATTTTGATGGCGCTTCTGCTAAGGCTTTTTCGAACTGTAAATCGAACAAAAGATAAGAAAAGGCAGTATTAAAAGCATGATCAGCACTGTATAGAAGGCAGCACCAAAACAATGTTATCAGATATAACAGCATATGTATTACCTGAATCCTTAACTCGTCCAATTCGCGGTTGGATGTGACAAGCTTACCAGTAATGACTTGAAGTAAAATGACACCTAGCTGATAAACATCTTCTTTTTCTGCATTTTCACTACTGCATTGAGGAAGAGGACCCAAACAAAGATGGCCTTGATTATTCAATAGTATAAAGGTGAGAAAAAAGGAAAACAGGTCGAAGACTTACATATTGTTATTGTAGGCATCTTTTTCATTTAGAAGACTCTCCGATCCTGCCTGCAAAGTTCAAAAACAAAACATTCATCAAAAAACGATTACAAGAGAGAACGATTTCAAAATGTGTCGCTTCAAACATGAAGAATCTCAGTCCATCTGCTCTCACCTTTGATGACAAGGGAATGTTGTAATCACTGAGTTTCGCAGTAAGACTATCATCCAACAGAACATTCTCAATCTTTATATTATTCCCAAAAATGCCAGGCGCAACTCCAGTATGCAAGAACTGGATTCCCCTCGCAACGCCAATGATAATCGCCATTCTCTGTGGCCATCTCAGCTCCTCCCTTTTTGTCTCATCTGTCATATCAAAAGTCATACTTACGTTAGGCTTCAGCAATGTTAAAAAAAAAAAAAATTGTTTCTGAGTGTTATATTTGCTGTTTTACCAGCTAGATAATCTTTTAGAGATCCATTGGAGATGTGTTCAAGGACAACAAATACAGTGCTGCCTGTGCTCGAATGATCCTGATATGTGACAATGGTGTGTCCGAGAATGCTGACCAAATGCAGATGCCTCAGCTTTGATAGTACCTCAATCTGCTGAATCATGCTTTGAGGCAAATTCTTTTGCTTTAATTTCACACATTTCACCAGGACCACTGAGCCATCCATAAGCCAACCTTTATAGAGCTGTAAATTATAGAAAAGAAAATGCATTTAGCTCAAAGGGCTTTGTTATTGATGAGCTCTAGTAGCCATGACATGATATTATAAACCCATTAAAAGGTATTGAATCTTACCTGTCCCTGGGATCCTTCTCCTATAAAATGCGATGGATCAAAGTTGTTTGTTGCATCTTCCACTTCCTCCAATGTGAAAACACGATAAGGCGGAAGCCCTATTGCTGCCGACCTCATTGTCTGAGGCACACGCCCTGTGGAAATTCATATAATGCGTAATTTTGGCAAGCCAACTAATTAACTTCACATGAAAACCCAAGAAAACTTCAGACGAATAGGAGAGAAAAGCAAATGCAAGCTAGGCGGACTTACTTGAATCAACGGCACTGCGAACAGGCCTTTTAATGGCAACAGACCTTTTACTGGTAACAGATCCATCATATACGCTATATACATGATCATCAACTGTTGTTGTTTTTGATCTTCTAATAATCACTAAAATCAATAATCCAAGAACACCAGCAACCCCCAGGCCACCTCCAACAATACCAAGTACTATTCCTAGTTTGATAGTGGAAGACTTCTGCTCCTCACTTTTAATTGGGGCTTCACAGCCAGTGCTTCTTTATGGCAGAATGAGTAAGGATGCTGGTAACTTGAATTTTTACCAACAGACAAGCAATTCCATGAACTAATGATTGTCCGAGTTGAAGAGTTGGTTGCGATGCAGGAAGGTAGTTTTCCTATCAAAAGGTTGTCAGATACGTCCACAAATTCAAGCTTAACACTGCAAGATATATTGATTGGCAGCGCCCCGCTCAATTGATTATGGGCTAAATCAAGATAATGAAGTGAAGGCAGAGAGAACAGAGCAGGTGGGATTGGTCCAATGAGTTTATTGGACGAGATGTCCAGCTGCTGAAGCTGATTGAACTTGATTCCTGAAGGAATAACAGATCTCAAGGAGTTGTACTTCAGTATGATGGTAACAAGATTGCTACCTAGAGAAGGAAAAGTTGGTCCAATATGATTGCCACCCAAATTTAGCTCTTGAAGTAGAACTAAGCTTCCGAGATCTGGAACCGTTCCATTCAGCAAATTATCAGCCAGAACAAGGCTAGTGAGATTATTTAACGACAAAATCTCTTGAGGAATCTTGCCATAAATGAAATTAGAACTGACATTAAGTACTTGAAGAGACCAAAACCTGTTGATCTTGGTAGGTAAGGGACCCCACAATCCCAAGGACACAAGCGATAACACCTTCAAATTTGAAAGCTTTGTCAGAACAGTGAAGAAAGCATCAATAGAGAAGTTGCCAGACAAAGTATTTTGTGTTGGGCTGTTGGGAGATGCAGAGGAGCCGGTTTTGTTTCCGACGACGGTTAATTCAGTTACATGACCATTTGAGCAAACAATTTTGAGTGAAGGTGAGAGAGGAAGATAACAAAAGTTGGTCCAATTATTCCATCCTTGAAGAACTTGAGGATATTCAAGGAGTTTTTGAACTTGGAAAATAATTCTGGTTTCACTTGGAGCCAATTGTCCTGATGACACTGAATATAGAATGAATAGAGCTGTAAACAAGCAAGAGAAGTTGGAGATCCTGAAATTCTCCATTTCTATTCCTCTCTATGAAAGTTGAGGTGGAAACCGAAACCTTAACTTCGACAGTCCATAGCTTCGGTGCCAGATCAATAGAGTTAACTTTAAAACTGATCATATGCTTCGAAAGTAGCATATTATATTGTATTTACTCCTGCAAACAAGCTTTCAATACCGCACATCACTCTGACTAAATGAAGTCAACTTGGCTCAAGAATTCAATTCAAACGTTTGTAGGTGCCACGCTCATTGTTTATTATCGTAGACCCGCGAATATCGAGTGTGTGCAGTCCCTCGCCATGCCACGCGACCTTGACAGGTGAAGTTTTTTTTCTTTTCATGCAATAAAATCACGAGACACTTTAATCTATCAGTTAATTATAATTTAGTCCCTGAGTTTAACAAAATTAATTAATTTGTCCTCATGGTTGTAAAAACGTTGTATATTTAATCTCTATGTTCTTAATTCATTCCTTTAATTTCATTTTTTTTCCAATCTATTTTGTCATGAAATAGAAAGAAAAATGGGTAAGATGGAAAATTTTTATTAGAAAAGAAGAACTTAAAAAAAAAAAAAAAAAAAAAACTAAGTTGAGATGGTCAACGATAGTCAAAGGATTATTTAATTATCTCTAATGTACAAGGACCGATTAATTAAATTTGATAAAATATAGAGATTAAAATATAGTTAACTATTTAAATTTGTGCATGACCCCAATAATAAATAAATACCCCAAATATGAATATGTCAGCATCAACGATGAATATGCAAGCGACGTCCATACAGGCTACGTTAACATGACCTTGGGGTTTGTGTGGACCGGCAAGTGAGGGTGTGTCGGTGAGAATTATTGTTTGATTTCTTTTAATTTGAATCTGAGTGGTAAGCAGAGGAAGCAAGGTGGTTGTCACTAATCATAAAATACTTATCGTGTAATGACGTTGCTAGCTCTACCTAACCTGCTCTCTTCCTATCATTCATTTACTGGGGACACTGCTCTTTTGGCAACTTGGTAATTGATATTATATTGGAATTTGGCCACTTCGTTTGGAAGTGCACATACACATGAATTTAAGCTTCGGCCGTGCAAGACATGACAGCATTTAAAGCGTTCAAAGGAAGAAGAGGACAAGGCAATTAAGCTGGTAATTTGAAGCTCACAGGGGCAGACACATCACAGAGTGGTTGGAATATGTGTTTCGCATCCGAGGAAGGAACTTAATTATATGGAATGTGTAGGTGCAGGGGCTAGGTCCTCGTAAATCTCAAGTGTTCATGACTACTCACAATTCAAGATTCCCATTCATCAACTGAAAGAACACCATTATACGAATTGAATTAAATGCATTCTAAGGTAAAACAAGTAGCCCATGATCTCGTGTATAGGCAATGTAAAGCAAGCAGACAGTCAAGTTCTACGCTAATTTACCTGTGTGCAACACTTTTATTTATTGGATTATTTTGATAAAAAAAATTATATTTATTATATAAATTAATTTTGATCAAAATTATTAATATCATTATTATAATTTTTAAATAAAAAATGGCTATATAATGTTTTTATAACCTACTAAATATGAATTTATATCTGACCAACAATTACAAAATTTTAATGAGGGTTTACGTATTGATCGAGTTACATCTATAAATAATTGGTGTGTTGATCATATATTTCTAAAGTGTGCGAGTACTAACAAATTGGAAAAAAAAAAAAAAAAAAAAAAACTAACCATGAGTAATTTAATGCCAAATGAACAACAATAATGATAATTAAAAGTGTTTGTAACTATATGTTTAGCCTAACTATAAAGAGGCATCCTAATATACGTTGAACAACACATTCCATATGATGTTATAAAAATCAATCTTTAATTGTGTTGTTGGTCATACTATAAAATATATTGTTATACTTTAAAAGTATGATATCAAAAATATATTTTTTTTATTTGTTGGGTAAAGTGAAGGTATTACGTGAAAACTTTTTATTCCACAACCTGTGTAAAGTTACGAAAAAGATAATTGAGTTATTATATTTTTAAAATAAAGTGCAATATAAAATTAATATGCTGTATTAATAAATTATGCAAACCACGCTTATAAGATACTGCGTGATCTATTCTTTCTTGTAAATATGCAAGTAGATGGTAGTGCGAGAGGCAGTTGAAATGCACATGGTGTGCATGCCTAGGCCCTAGAATCCGTAGAAAAGCACGCCTTTTAATAACAGAGTAATGTATTTTTGTGAAAAAATGAAAATAAAAAAGAATAATATGTTAAAAATCCTGGAGTGCTATTGATTTTTTTGCAAGGTCAATGAAAGGTGATTCCCCTTGTGGAAGCGCGGTTTAACGCACAAGACAAAGAGTAAGACAGGACAAATAAGTTCATGATGGTATTTGGTGAAGAATGTGACAAAATGGAATATTACCCAATTCCATCAAACAAAAATTTTTGCATGAGCATCTTCCTTCTTAAAAATTACATTAACAAAACTAATTGAATAAATTTAATTATGTTTTTTTTTTTTTGAGAAAAATAAATAGCATTGACTATTTTTTTTTAAAAAAAAAGAATTCATCTAATAAATAAGCCTATATGTTAAAAATCTCAACCATCCATTTAAATTATGATTGAAATACGACGACAGTTTTATGTTCTAAGAAACAAGAGAAGGTCATTCTCCTGGATTTCTCCTGTTCTGCAATTTGCACCATTATCATGCTAATCTTTTTCCTATGGATCAAATTTGTATTAAGAAAATTTTAGTACAAGACTCGATAGCCAACAAGAGAATCACTACAAAAACCAAAAGCGGTACACACTGAGACAACTGAAAGTAGAGGGCAAACCACCAAACCAAAGACAAAACAGAGACCAGTCATGAGATAAGCCAATTTCAATGGAATAGTTCTACAATAACAGCTGACATTCTGCAAACGGCCTAACAGACCACGCTGTTTTTAAGACCTGCATAAAACCAAATTGCAACAGAAGAAGTGACAACTAACTAAACATCTACAAAAACCAAATATGCAGGGCAGCAACATACTTCACAATCAAGAACACATTTTGCAGCAGACCTGAAAAGCAAAAACTCATTTCGCCACAGGATAAGATGGAATGCAAATATACTCCTCTATTAGACCAATGTGCAGCAAATTCAGCAGAAATAGGAGCTTAACATAGGCAGTGATACAACTAATTGGGGTATGAAGTGCAACTTGCAATGGCATCTTTAATAGAGCAACAATGGCGCATCATCGGAATACCTCCTAATCAACCCCCAAATTTCGAAATCTGGAAAATGTCCTGAGCCAATCGGGTTGAAAAAATAGCCTTATCTATTTTACTTGATAAGATGGGCGAAAATTCGCAGGACCAAGTGGATTATCTTAATCATAGCACACTCCTGAACAATGTCATTGAAGCCTAAAGCAGTTATGCTACTTGTAAACACACTACCTAGCACTTGGCAGGTCATGCCCCTATCCATCAAAGTAGCAACATTTATGATAAAAGCGAAGAAGAAAGAAAAAAAGAAGTGCAAAAGTAAATTTTGTTGACAACCTGAAATGTCAAATGCAGGATGTATAACAAGTTCATAATTAGATATTGCTTAGAATCATCCAAAGATCCCAAACACATCATCAAGATGCAGTCAGTGAATACAGAAAGATCCAAGCAAAAATGCAAAACCAATTGACATAACAAATGCAGCTACAGTCAACCAATGGACTCTTCTAAAATTTAAAGTTGAGTAAATATATTTATACAAGAATCTTCATATTCCTTAATCATGAGCTGATTTAGCTTATTCCTTAGAGGAAAAGCCACTCTGCTGTGCTATCTCTAAACAGTATGATTCCAATTACAGAAATTTTGCCAGTCAAAGCAGAAAATTCAAAAGTAACCTTACATTTCAGCCACGTGACACCCTTCTCTGTGTTCCTCTGCTTCTTAGATTTTCTAATCATGATTATCATGACCAGAACCCAACAGAAACTGTAGCTCTTTTCTTCGTTATTTCTACCACTAACTGAAGGAAAGCCGATCCATCAGGATAGCATTTTAAAGAGGGAAAGCTGATCCATCAGAATAGCATTTCCGAAAAAAAGTAATAGTAATTCAGGTGAAAGTAGCCCTTGTTCTCCAATGCAACATCAGCAGCATCATTGATCCTCAAGAGTTTTTGGATCATCAAACAAATATAATAAAGAGACATCCTGGTATACTGAAGCTGGTCAATTTAATCCATGAGGACCATTTTTAGCAAATTGTGGTACTCAGTTAAAGACTCAACAGATGAAAACTCAACTGAGCATCAAAGAACTATCCCAAGTAATTGCAGTCCTATCTCTAGGAAATTTCATACCAAAGAGCTTGTAGCCCAGCGGTAGTGGTCTCTTGCAACAAGAGGTCAAGGGTTCAAATCCTAACAGACTAGTTCTGCTAGGAGCCTTGAGTGTGTGATAAAAATATATATATATATATCTCTAGGAAATTTCCAAATGCAACACCATAGCCCCTCAGTTAACGCAATATCAGAGTCAGAATCATAAAACTTGTATTTAATGTCAGAATTTAGAATACTAACTTTATAACAAAAATATATTTTATAAATTCACACCTGCAGTCCTCCTTGGAGGCATGGAACTATTGACCGTGGTGTTGTTGGATCTTTTGTCAAGTCACCAAATTATGTGGGTCTCAACATTTTCTCTCAGTAAAACAGGACCATATGTGCATAATGAACAACAAGAACAACTGAAATAGTGAAACCCAGTACAGAATTGATGTTAGAAATTATGGACCTGGCGGGTTCAAACTTCAACATATCCCCATGAAATGGATCATCCACTGATAGGACAAAGTACACAAATCTTGGAGGGGGTGAAGGCTTAGAAGCAAAAAGAAGAGTGAATAAGGAAGCAGGTAGTGACAAACAAAAGCACAGAAGTAAAGCAACGAGAGCAAAGTAGGGTTTAAGCCACTGGCACACCCTACTATTCAAAAGGAATTCTTGGATGGCACTTGTAACAAAATTTGTAAAACCCCAAAAGAATGTCGTATGGTAATTTTCACAATAACTCTGCTATAAGAATGCAGGATAGAAAATTTCTTCAAAACTGGCTCCTTGTTAGTCATTCAAAGATCTCTCAACCTCATCATAATGATCCACATCAATGCAAACAGATAGTCCCAAAGCAAAATGCAAAACCAATGTCAACGAAAGCAATTTAATGGAGTATTCTGCACTTTAACTCAATTAAATTTATTTAAATTTATACAAGAAGTTTATAATCTCTAATCATAAGCAATTTAGCTTATTGCAGAAGAAACCATTCCACTTTCCTTCCTCTAAACAGTATCAATCCAATTACAAAAGATTTTGCTTGTTGAGCAAAGAATAATATAACAGTTACCTTAGATTTCTGCCACATCAAACCCTTCTTCATGTTCTTCCCCTTCTTTGCTTTTCTGATCATAACTATCATGATCAGAGCCCAACAGCAACTGTTGCTCTTTTTCTGCGTTATTTCCACCACTTTTTATGAGGGAAAGCTGATCCATTGCAATAGCGTTTCGCTTGTAGTTCCAAACAAGCATTGAAATGTAGTCCTGAGGTGAAACCAGACCATGCTCTTTAATGCTAAATCGTTGATCCTCAAGAGTTTTTGGATCATCAAGCCTTATATATTCAAGCAATGCCTTCTCATGATCAGGTATCCAATTACTTGGAAATGGGGTGTAATCAGTCTCAGGTACAAGAGACATCCTGGTATACTGAAGCCCATCAATAGACTCCGCAAGGCCCATTCTTATCAAATTGTGGAACTCAGGTGAAGATCCTTTCTTCTCCTTCAAAGGACGACTCAGATTCCGAGAACCAATCTTATACACCTTTGCACGTGAACGCAGCTTGTATTTTGCAGCATAAAGCTTTGCAAGTGAACCCCTTATAATGTAAGAACAGAAGTTCACAATTTTCTTCCGATTGTCAGCATATCTATACCACTCAACCATTGTTGACAAAAACTTGTTCATTTGGGCATTGGTGTGAGCTTGAGTAGCATGGAACATCCTAAAACAAGGCTGTGGGTCTGGATCCCTGTCCCCTTTCAGAAAGTTCAGCTTCCTAAATTGTTTAATGCATTGTTTCAAGCTTGCTGTGACAGACAAAAGGGTGCCCACACCTTTTTCACTAATGATCTTCCCACCAGTGGCAGTGTACCGTAGAGTTGGATACACAACTCTTCGGCACAATACATGATCAAGAAACATTATACCTTTAGTTATGTGCTCAATTGGGAGGCTCTCATTGTCAAGCTTAAGCATGTATTTCTGATCAACAAACTCAATCAATTGCTTCCTCAATGTAGCTGCATCTGCTCTAGGTCCTCGCACGCCAATCAAAATGTGACCCCCATATCTAACATAATCAATCTTCCTGGTTTTGTCTGGGCCACTTGTTGGCACAAATTCTGGCCAAGATGTATTCCCCTGTTCTGCTTCCCCTTCTGGACTATTCCATATGACATCACTCTTTGAAGGACGATAGAACTCCTTAATCTTACCCTCCATCCACCTGTCCAATTCATCTAAGCAGATATTAGCCAAAAGAGGACTGAGAATCCCACAGTGCCCCCATGAAGGAACCTTCTCTGCCTCCTCAGGTGCAAACCTAAAAAAGGTGTCTAACCAATATGGATCTGGCTTTGGTTCATCCTCTGCCAAAACCCTCTTTTTCTGATACTTCCTCTTTGTCTTCTTTTTTGGCTCTTCCACGCGACTTGTGATCACAGGAGTAGTCAATGCTTCCTTTATCAAATCAATCACTTTCTTATCCCTAACATCCCTCATCAAAGCACCTATCACTAACCCCACCTTCATTCCGTCCAAAACTGTGCTCAAGTCCCCTTTCATATACCACAAATACCCTGCAAAATTCCTCCTCACCACCCTTAACACCGTATGTGCATTTCTACCAGGTCTAAATGCAAATGACTTCTGAGAAAACCGTGCTTCATATATCGGCTCCAAAATCATAAACAACACCTCCTGGACTATCTTATCCTGAAATGCTGCCGGTTGCGTAGTTGTCAAAATCACCTTAATCTTCCTCTTCGACAAAGACTGATAATCAGTCTTATCTTTCGGAGACTTTATTAAAAAATCCAACCTGGCACCCCACTTAAACCTATTATCAAGAACCGCATTTCTAAGCGCTAACAAGTCCTCCAATGCAGACCTTTGTATTGCACTACGGGGCATATATGCTCCCATGTCATCAGCACACACTTTCTGATAAGCCAATACCCACAATTCAAAACGGCGAAGATAAGTGGTCAAATTGCTCGCAATCTTATCCGGTTCTCGAAAATTCTCTATCCACATTTGAGAGCAAACTGAGACGCCATCTTCCTTCATCAGGTTGGATGGATCATCAGGGTCCGGCGCACGCCTGTGCACCGGAGTGAATGATAGTAAGCGAAAGAAAGCAAACCTGTTAGTCCTAGGGTTTAAGGGATTGGATTGAGAGTAAAAAAGGGTAGTGCTGGTGGCTGTTGTGATTGGGATAGGATTGGCATTAACGAGGATTTTGTGGGTGAATATTGCAAGGCGACGATACATTTGGAGATGGTGAAATTAAAAAACACCCTCTTTTTTAGGTTATTTCTGGGTTCATAATCAACATTAATACTATAAAGGAGAACAAACAATAAAATGAATAAAACCCAATTCAAAAAAAGAGCTTTCTGGCAGTGCAATGTAAAGCTAAACAATCAGAAAGCGGAAAAAAGAGTGAAAAAACTGTATTCAGTTTTGACTTCTTACAAAACATTGAAGCAACGAACCCCTTGTTGTAGTGTAAGGCTTGGATACGGCTTGAACATGAAGTGATGGCACTCGGTTTGGTTTGAGGAACTGGGTGCTCAAGGCAGTGGAGAAAGAAAGTGAAGAGAGGATTTGAGACGTAAACCCAAACCCTGGCTAAAACCCTGACAAGTGAAATTTCTGCTTTCCTTTCTGTTAGGGGCTTCGCACGGGTCCTTCGAAGTACAAACCAGATTCGGTTGGATCCGTGTGGAAGGTCCGCCTTCAGTGACTATAACTGCTTGACCCATCTGAAGCCGAGCCCATTAGGGTAGTGGGTACTAGCACTTTTTTTTTTTTTTTAATGAGAATGCTAACGCGATGTTAATTGTTACTTTTACACAATATATTTCAATATTGACCGGAAGGGACTTCAATTTTATGCACAAAAAAAGGGTTCAGCAATACCATAACAGTTAAATAAAAAATTATCCTAAAAAAGAATTGTGTGATTTATATATGTATAACATTAGATTATCTATACCTTATATATTTATTTTTAAAAAAATTAATGTACCATATTGATGTAGGGTAGGGATGTACTTTTCAAATTGTTTAAACCTTTAGAATTATTTAGAAAAAAGAATTTGAATTCGATTAACGTGTAGATTAATTTAAAAATACATCTTACCGTCAAATATAAAAATTATAATAATGTATTCCATAGATTTATTTTTTATAGACAACATAATAGAATTTGTTTTGTCCGATAGAAAATGCGATGGCTGTTTTTCAAACTAATATATGTTCATGATAAGTCTTTTTTTTTTTTTTCTATGATAGTTTGGAGTTTTATCATATAAAATTTTATTTAGTTTTATCATATAAAATTTTATTTTTACTTTCTCATTGAGTGTTTATTCATGAAGTTGAAAGTTGGAATTTCATTTATAGTAATTTATACTTAGTGGCATATCTATGTATCCCCGTATGATCATAGCTATCGTTGAAAAGATTTTAAATTTTAACCCCAACATAGGTGTAGTGAAGATTTTTTTAGATAAAAATTGATGTAATGTGGACATAATATTTTATGCTAAATAGCGTAAAATAACCTACCTATTTTTTCTTTTCTACAAAAAATAAAAAAATAAAAATAATTCCATACAATATCTCAATTTCCGTTTTAATTTTAAGACCAGATCATAAAAAGATATTAATCGTTAATGACTTTACGTGAGAATTTTTTTCTTTTGCTTTGTTTTTTTTAGTTGCAAAAAAAATGTTTGAGTTCGAAATCTCTTTGAAAAAGAGAAAACATTGATGTCAGTTGAATTATCACTTGTTTACTTTTTTTACATATTTTATTAATCATTATTAATACTTGATACATCATCCAAGCTAAAAGATTTAAGAAAACGTATTTTAAGTGTATAATTATATTTTCGAAACTTTTATTTAAGAATAAAATATGTGAATTAAATCTCTTTTATTTATAGATTTTATACAATTTGGTGTTATGATACAGTTTATCATTACATTGTAATGAAAGTTTATTTATTCTTTTAAAAAGAGAATACAATCTTTTTTTGGATGAAAAAAAAAAATTGTCCTGCTATGAGTAAATAGGTTTTCCAAAATTTCATAATACCCATTTTTTTTAGGTTTTTAATCTTTTTGCACTTCGTAGAAAACATTTTTTAATCAACTTCTATATTTATCTTTTTTTTTTTTTTTTGCCGATACGAAAGATGTTCTTCCCTTAATTTCTTAATCTCATTTTTATACAATTTCTTGACTTTTTTTTTTTTTTAAAAAAGGAAATCTACATTTTACGACACTGGAAACCGAAAAACATATTGCCATTACGTTGGCAAAATAAAAAAGGGGGAATAGAATAAAATCTCTAACCTATTGCCATTATGTTGTGTGATTTCTTTCGCTTCATTGAATATATATATATAAGAAATAGTAAGAATGATAGAATTGAAGAGAAAGATGATATGAAAATGAATTCATTGTTGAATAAAGTAAATATAAAAGGTGACAACTCTAAATAATTCTCTCAATCTCTACAAAATACTTATATACAAATTAATGAACAATCAAGTCTATTTATAGGCTTTAAAATTGAGAAGAGAATTAAAAGAGACTATGAATAATTAAAAGTACTTAAATTGTTAAATCAATTGCATCACTCTTGCAATTTCTCATATTAAATGATGAATTTAATTACATTAAGAATTATGAATAATAGAGATATGAAAAACATATGAATATTCATATGGACATTCATTATTTCATAACACTCCTCCTTGAATGTTCATTGTATAAGGAACATGCCTCATTAAAACTTTATTAAGGAAAAACCTATGAGGAAAAAAATCCTAATGAAGGAAAAAAAGTACAATATTTTTTATACACATTAATCCCCATCTTGGCCTCCCCTCTTAAAAATATTATTTAAGATCTCTAAGATGATGCATTCCAATCTTGTGAATCATTTCCTCAAAAGTTATGGTAGGTAATGCCTTAGTGTACAAATCTACCGGATTATCACTTAATCGAATTTGTTGAATATTAATATCACTATTCTATTAAAGATCGTGTGTGATAAATAATTTTGATGATATATGTTTCGTTCGTCACCTTTCATGTATCCTTTTTTTTTAATTGAGCTATGTAAGGAGTATTATCTTCATACAATATTGTTGAAACTTCCTTGTTAGTGGATAAACCGCATGTCTATCGAATATGATGAGTCATTGATCTTAACTAAATACATTCTCTACTTGTCTCATAAATTGTTAGTATTTCTACATGGTTTGAAGATATGACGGTTATAGTTTACTTCACAAAACATCATGATATAGTTGTATCTCCATATGTAAATACATAACCGAGTTTGTGATCGAGCTTTGTATAGACTAAATAAATAATATGTATATGCATAACCAATTAATTATGTATTTGATTTATTGTAGTATAAGTCCATATCAATTATTTCTCACAGATAACATTATTTATGTTTAGTTTCATTCTAATGTCCTCGTGCTTGAAGTAGAATTATATCTTGCTAATAAATTTACGGAAAATTCTATATCGAGTCGGGTATTATTAGTAAGATACATCAATACACTAATTACACCGAGGTGTGGTACTTTAGAACTAAGAAGTTCTTCTTTATCTTCGAGGTCAAAAAGTATCATTTTAGAAATCAAGTGAACAAACTACCATTGGACTACTAGTCAATGGATGAGTCTTATCCATGTAGAATCGTTGTAGTACTTTTTCTATATATGTTGATCTGGAATAAAAATTCCATATTTTAAGCATTCAAATTACGGACTAAGATAAAAAAAAAATTCAAGGTCTTTCATATCAAATTCTCTTTTTAAATAACTTCGACATTTAGTATCTCTTCGGGAGTTTCAATTATATTTAAATTATCAATATATATAGCAATTACCATAAATCTCTTTTTGAATTTCTTTATAAAGACATATAGAAAAATTGAGTTATTTTTATAACCTTCTTTTAACAAATACTCATTAAGATGATTATACCACACGTGGATAGATTGTTTCAATTAATATAGAGATCTTTGTAATTTAATTGAATATCTCTCGAAAATGTATTTTACATGCTTTGACCATTCTAAGTCCTTTTAGGACTTTTATATAAATATCAATATCAAGTGAATCATATAAATAAGCTCGTAATCACATCCATTTTCATGTGTTGTCAACCTAATAAGATAATAAAATATAATTGCATCCATTACAGGAGAATATGTCTACTTATAGTCAATGTCAAGTCTTTATAAAAACCTTTGTGCTACAAGTCTTGCTTTGTATGTCACAATTTTATCTTTTTTATTTTGTTTTCACACAAATACCTATTTGTATCCCATTAACTTAATATCTTCCGGTGTTTTGACTATGAGTCCAAAAACTACTCGTTTTATGAGAGATTTTAATTCTTCATGGATTGCATCTTTTCATTTAGACCAATCAACTTTATATCGACAATTTTCAATAGATTTAGGCTTAGGACCCTTATTCAAAATATCAATAACAATATTATATGCAAAAATGTTATCAATGAATGTTTCTTTTCAATCCCATTTTCTTCTTGTATTAACATAATTGATCAAAATTTCTTGATTTTTCCTTAAGCATTGAGGCTTTTTCTCGAAGCTTGTTATCAAAATTATATTAGACTATTTTATCTCGCCTCATTTATATTTTCATCTTGATTATTTTGTCTTTTTTTCTTTAGGGTATTTTTATCTTTAGAACCAATTGGTCTTTCATGCTTCAAGCATACTTTAGATTCATTTGATATAATATTAATATGTTGCCCTACTGGGACATTGGTTGTAATATAAGCATTCTCAACGAAACATGTGATTTAGTTACTTTATTTGGATCAGATAATGCATTTGACGGTTGATTTGTAAAACTTTGTAAATGAATTATCCTTTAAACTTCAAGTTCACATTGTTTTGTATGACGATCAAGATAATATAAAGATGAAGAATTTCATATAATTTCTTTTTATAACATTTACAATTGCTTATTCTGTTTATTCTCTCCCTCTAATGTTAGAAAAATTATTTCATCAAAATGACGATCGATAAATTGAGCCATAAAAACATCTTCTATTAATGGTTCAAGATATTTAATTATAGAAGGAGATTCGTATCCAACATATATTCTCAATCTCCTCTAAAGACTCATTTTAGTTCATTGTAGAGGAGTAATTGGGATATATATACCGCACATCTAAAAATCCTTAATTGAGAAATATTAGAC